TAGAATGGCTGATAGAGACAAAACCCAAGTTGTACAATGATCCAAGAGTACAGGAATTAATACAAGATCCAAAGAAATTTGTGATCAAACTAAAGAAGGCTCTATATGGACTGAAACAAGCAGCAAGAAGTTGGTACAACACATTACAGTCGAACCCCTCTAAAGCCATACCCCTCGGGAGAAGGGGAAACCTATGGGTATAGAGGGGCTATGTCTTTCTTGAGGAACCCCTCTATAGACATACATTCATGGCTTTACATTGAAAACCCTCTAAATATATGAAAACCATGGCTTTAGAGGGTGGACATTCCACAACCATAGAACATATCCCTCTAAAGACATGGAATCATGGCTTTAGAGGGTGGTCCCCCTACAGCCATAAAAAAGAGGACTTTATACGGGTCTTGTTGTTGAAAAAGTCTAACTTGCTATCAAATATTTCAGTATCTGCCGTGTTAATTTTTTGTGAGAAGAATACATTCAAAATTGTAACTACATCACAAGATTTGTTTAATTTCTACTAAAGGAGAAAGTGATGGAGGGCTGAATTTTGTTGGCAAAATAGGTCTTGCTGGTCAATGTGCTTTCAAGAGCAGGGAGAAGGTGGTCAACAGCTGTTGCTTTGGGCATATCAGTACTTTCAATGAATTGTATAAGCAAAGATACTGCCTTCAAAGCTTCAGAAGCTGTTGGAGGTATCCCCTTTCCTACCTCCCTATTGGCCATTTTTCTATGGCTTTACATTGAAAAGATTGTTTTTTTTTGGATTCTGGGTATGGGTTAAGGGGTTAGACGGAACTATGGGTTTTTCACAAATTTTGGCCCCTCCCAACTTGGGAGAGCCAAAAAACCATCACTATAGACGGGTTAAGGCTTTAGAGGGGTACTGCTTTAGAGGGGTTTGACTGTACAAGCATGGCTCATTAGAAAAGGTTTCAGAGTAAGTGAAGCAGACCCATGTCTTTTTATCAAACATGATGTGATCTTGTTTGTATGGGTAGATGATGTAATTTTGGTAGGAGACGGAGCAGACGAAACAATCAAAAACATGGAGAATGAATTCAAAATTAAGGATTTGGGAATAGCCAGTCACATACTAGGGATAAGAATAATAAGAGAAGGATTAGGGAGTATCAAGATGAGTCAAGAACATTTTGTAGATGAAATCCTCAAAACTTACGGCATGGAAGATTGTAATCCAAGTGGAACACCAATGCAAAGTAACATAAGATTGGAAAACTCAACGGACGAAGAACATGAAGAGTTTAAAAGACAAGATTTGGATTACAGATCAGCAATAGGAACATTGAGTTATCTCGCACAAAGCACAAGGCCAGACATAACATATGCAGTAGGAACACTGTCACAATTTCTAGTAAAACCAAACATGGGCCATTGGAATGCGTTCAAACGAGTGTTAAGGTACTTGAAAGGAACAAAAGAGTTGGGGATAACTTATGAGCAGACTAACGAGGATTTGAAAGGATACTCAGACTCAAGTTGGGCAGAGGAGATTAATCAAAAATCATGCTCAGGGTATGTATTCATTCAAGGAAATGGCGCGGTAAGTTGGAGAAGTAAACGTCTTGGAGCAGTAAGTGTATCTTCAACAGAAGCAGAGTTTAGATGTCTATTAGCTGCTTTTCAAGAAGCTAAATGGCTAAGCTTACTCAATAGTGAAATAGAACATAGGGATCAAGACATTGTGAAAGTATACAGCGATAACGAAGGCGCTATAAAGAGATCAAAGAATCCAGTATACCACTCAAGAACAAAACACATAGACGTTCATTATAACTATGTGAAGGATTTAGTAAACAATAAAGAGATAGATCTGAGATACATATCCACAACAAAGATGGTAGCGGATATCACAACTAAGGCATTAGACCGAGTCAAGCATCAAGGATTTCAGAAGACAATGGGTATGATTGAAGGAGAAAATCATACAGCAAACATAGCATGTGCTCAGTACGAATCGAGGGGGCGTGTTGGAGATGCGATTCGAGAAAGCACATGTGTAGCTTTCGAGAATGAACAAGATGTGCAAATGGAAATAGCGCATGAAGAGATCTATTCTGGAATAGTTCCAGCTAAGAGAAAAGTAGAAAGGACTCACAAGATAAGTCATCGGAGAAAAGTCCACAGTAAGACTAATGGAGGATTAGTCATGAACTGCTATGAGAGACAAAACGGTGGTCATACGCATGAATACGTTTGCCTATAAATAAGGCCGTATTCGACATCTTGTATATAGATTTTGTTCCCATCTTATTGTCGTTATAAAATACAAATAGAAACCTTCATCGCTCTAACAGTCACACATCACGGTGGCATGAGGTCTATATAGAGTCTTGATCAAAACAGTATCATTCAAGACACTGTATAAAGCTGGATTAACTCATGAAGAAAGTCATGAATTAAAGAACTTACCAGAGACTCCCTTACCATCTCATTGAACGGGCAATTCAGGTGGGAGTGTTTGGGTCAAGGATGACAAGATCACACTATATTATAAGAATAACATTACAATTGGGTGAATACTACAAAGTTTTCAGGAAAAACATAAGAAACTACAGTTGATCCAGCCTAGTCACAACCACAGGCCGGCCCCGGGGCCGGCCCCAAGACCCAAATTTTCAACCCTCCAGTAATACCCAAGTAGGGTATTTTGGTAGAGGTTTTTTTGCATCTTATTGGCGCTTTTGACTCACTTGATCTCAGTTTGTTGATTTGTACTTGGACTATCAAAGCAACAGCTTCAAATGAAAATCCTTCCTGGACTCAAAATCTCTCTTTGAGGATGTTCACAAGTGGTGTCCAGTGTCAAGGATTTGGAAGTATTTTCAAAAAGGCAATTGGCAGATGGACATCTATTGGTGAGTCTTTTATCATTCTTGTCTTCTTAACTCACTATCCATCACTGATACCTTTTCATTTTCAACACTCAAGAATTGGTATGACCGGGTACCAGCTGAAAAATTGACCAAGAGATACTGCTTGCATTGATGCATACCACAAAACACCATCATGAGATTTGGCATGATGTGTGACCCTCAAAGGGCTTTTCTTGTCTTATCTTGCTGTTTTCATCTTTTTTGCATATTCTGTCTGATTTCTTCATCTCCATGTACACAAACCACCATTGTTATGTACTTGACAAATTGTGATGAGCAGAACTTGCGCTGAGGGTTGCTTGCGCTGAGGGTTGCTTGCGCTGAGCCATGCTTGTGCTGCTCATAAGGTACTTAAGTAGGTACTTAAGTGGACACATAAATGTGTGGGTGCCTAGGCTATGCAGTTAAGGCCTTAAGTTAAGTACTTAAGTACTTAATATTAGGCCGGTTAGGTACCCGGACCCAAATATTCGAGTTTGGGGGAAATTTTTTTTTTTGAAAAAAAATTGGCCAATCAGATTGACTTGCCAAGTCATTTCTAATACTTACACCCTATTCCTAACCCAAAAATGACTTATTACATGTCATTTATTTACAGGGGTTGTGTGTATAAAGTTGTGTAACTGAATTTTGTTTTTGCAGAGCAGTTGTGGTCGTGACTAGACTGGATCAACTGCAATGGACTTGATCAGAGTCAAGTACAGCCTTTATAAATAACCCTTGGTGAAAACTGTGATACATATTATAGACAAACATCATAAGGTCAAATTGAGGGGGGTTAATCTTATGACAATCCAAGATGGTTGGTAAACAACGTCAGCCTCTGAGCTGCCCCTCAAAATCCATGACATTGTGGAAAGGAAGTCATGTTTCACTTACCAGTTAGAGTAACTCACGAGGAGTTACTGCTTGCAGGGAGTCGGTCTGCAAGGATTTTGAGGACAGATCCCATATCCGCCAGAGTACCTTGCACATTTGCCACTGATGATTTAAGGTCATCAATTTGTCTGTCATTCTTCTCTTTGCGGCTGTTTGCCGCGGAAAGCTCTTCTTGTTGCAAGTTGAGAGTTTTGCATGTGGTCTGGGTGTCAAGATCCAGTTGAGCCTGGGACTGAGCAAGCTCATGCTTGCGCTGGAGGTTCATCACCGTGGTCTGCTTCTTGTGTTGTTCAAGAGCTACAGATGTAAGTTCATTCGCTCTTTCAGCCGCTTCACTGCTTTTCATGGTAATGTTGACCATGTCACTGGTGCTATCTTCACTGCTGAGCTTCTTCTTCAAACCATCTTGGATTGCGCGCAGAGACCTTGCAGGTCTTGGTGCCCCTTTGCCGCCATCAGAGCTCCCATCTTCATCATTTATCGGGGTAGGCCAAGGAGGCACTGAACAAGTTTGGATTGCACAGAGGTCACACAAGTCATTCCCTCAAGCAAGAGAGGTGGCAGCGGCGTCTTTGGCAGCTTTTGCTTCTTGTTGCACTGTGTTCATGTCCTACATGTACCAATGCAAGTGTTGAAGATGTCAGCCTGATTCAGCAGCTTGACCTGACACTCTCACGCACCTCTTCTTGAGTTACAAATGATGTGATCAATTCCCAAATCTTTCCATTGACCTCGTGAGTCCCACTGGCTTGGAGAGATGCCGTGTTTTCCTGCTTGAGCCAATCTTTGAGGAAGTTGTACCTGTTCCTCAGCGTAGACGTGCTCTTGTTGCCCGACATCAAGCAAAAATGTGAATCCGTTTTGGGTTGACTCTATGCAATCACGAAGTTGTACAGTCGCTACAAAGAGATCCACAACTTCAACAATAAGCAAACCAGTGCGACTAACCTTGAGGTGGTTGGTGCACAGGTGAAATTGTTTTCCTTGGTCTTTGTAAACTGCAAACAGATGAAACTCCGCAAGGTGAGAGAGCCATGTCACATCCAGTTCACCTGGCTCGCCCCAGCGCCAGTACTGCGCACTAGTCGCGGCAGTAGCAGACTTCTTACCCAAGGTCTTTGAGGCGGGGGAGTGCACCCAAGTGCCCTCTTGAGCATCAACTTGGGGGGTGATGCTTGATCCGGAGGCAGCCAAAGTTGGAACTTGGGCAGGACCCACACACACTCAAGAAGGCAGTTGATCCGAGGAATTGGAACCTCGAATCAAATTAGAAGCACGAGGGGAACAGGGAGCTGCAGAGTATTTGGAGGCTGAGGGGAGACCCTTGGTTTGGGGACGCCCGGACTGGGCCAAGAGACCCTTGCCCGAATCCAGTCCGTCAATGTCTTCCTCGCAACTGGTGAATGAATTTGCGTCTTCATTCAATTGGGTTTTGGTGAAGGAGCTGTTGGATAAGTCTCTGCGTAGTTTGACGGGAGAGTCCTTCCGAATGAGAGGATTGTGGGTTGACATAGTCACGGCGGGTTGAGTCGGTGTGGGTGAAGACTGTAGGACCAAAGACGTTGGAAGTGCTTGAAGATCCCTGTGAACTGAGGACATACGTCCAGCTGGCCTCAAATGAAAACATCAGTGACCATCATCCATAGAATTCCAGGTAATAGAGTGACTTACCAGATGGACCGGGTGTGACAGGATCATCATCTGAATCTGCCAACAGGTGACACAAGCACTTGTCTTCTCCTGACGTCAAATCTGGACAAACCTGGCGAAGTGCCTTCACGTTGTACCTTGCCAAGGCCGCTGCCTTGTTTGCCGGATTGAGTCCATCTCGGCACCATGGCAGAGGGTCAGACCGGTGATCTGACCCGTTCATTGATTGAGCCGTGTTACATGCGCCATTGAATGATCCTGCAGCATTGTAATCTGAGATCACCCTGACGGTTCTCCAGTCAAAAATGCTGTTGTAATCCGCTGCTGAGCGCCATGGAGGATGCAAAGTGTTGTGGGCATACTTATACAGAGGGCCCTCACGAGACAAAAACCTAAAAAGCATCCGAATCAGAGACCAAGAACCCAAACTTGCTTGTCTGCACGGAGATAGCTCACATGCGTCCAATTGGAGCCCACACAGCCCCTGGGCCTGTTGGGAGCGACCCGTCGAGACCTGGTTGAATTCTGTTGGGTGTAGGTGGCAGCTTTGTGCCCTTGGACCCTACGTTCCAAAAGCTGAGCGGCGGTAGAGGTGTTGCCTACAGAACACCACCAAAAGCGTCAGTATAAGATATCTCAAGATTCCCAAATAGAAACAGACGCACCAATTGGGGATGGCGGCCCTGACACGGCGGACTGACTGGTGTACAGCGACCTCGCGTGAGCTGATGAGCAGAAGAAGGATTTGGAAGCTTTTCTGTTGCATGTTATCAACTCAACCAATCCTCAGCTACTCTATCACGTTTGATGGATGATTCCAAACAACCTGACAATGAGGAAGCTCTCTCACCTGATTCCACGTGTTGACACCTCTGCAGTCTAGTGGCACGGATCCAAACAACATCACATGCCTCAGACCTCCTGGGCCTCTGCCAAGCTGGCCTCAATCTGACCTGACCAGGGTTGGCATACGAGGCGGTAGGTGTGCATGATTTGACTTGGGAACGTGTTAACAGCCATTAGTATTCCCCACTGGATAGGAGACCTGTCCAACAGCAAATCACATACCTGAACAGGCAACACATTGGCAACATTCAGACTGCTGGTCAGCAACCAGTTGGCTTGACGGTGGGGTGTTGACATGGTTGAACAAAATCCTGTTAAACAACCAGTCAGCCAATGATTCACCAAATGTTAGAATGAACAAGACCAAATTTGATACGTACTGGATTAAAATTTTATTATCTATGTATAGATAGAAGTATCAGATGTCATCAAGCGTGTTCAAAAAACCAGAAATTCAAGAACAAACACACAAAGCTGGATATGAATTGCGGATAGGAGGATCGACAAATCGCACATATATATGAGGATATATATATCCTCTCCAAGAATTCCCTTCCACAACCTTTCACAGATTTTGGCTACAACCAAATTTCTGACGTACACGCAAAACCCATAGAGGTTAGCTGTTGTTCAATGCAGCAAAGTCTATGCATTGCTGCCCAGAGGAGCAATGTTCAATATAGACAACTACATAAGGCCTCAGAACCTCAAGGTTTGCTTGGAACAAGCTCCAGGAGTCATGAAATTTGGACGTCCAAAATTCCACCTTTTGTTTTCATGACTGTTGGCAGGGATTGTCTTGAACAAAGGTGGCAATCACTGTAATACTTTCATGTCATATGGAAGTATGATGAAGCGCCTCATTGGAACCAAGTGAGGAAGGTCAGTCTTAGAATGTTTGCAGTCACCAAGACAACTGCGCAGGGGGTCTCAGACCCAAAATTCACCCATATATGAGACATGCATGTGAGAAACAACGTATTTTGGTAGTAACAAAGGCTTCAAAACTTGCCTGGTCTCTAATCTTTAAGTTTGATAGAGAAAAGGAAAAGAAGGTAAACAACATGATGAACCTTTTATATATCAAAGTTAACCTTAAGATCATAGACATAACACTGGTGTATGATGTCATAAAGATTATCTGAGAAAGATTAATAAGCCTAAGAGATGATTAAGATTTCAATTGTTTTCTCATCACAAGTTGGAGTACCTTTAGATTGATGAACATCATAGCAAGCAATCATTTTACCTATACAGATGTTTTTTTCTCTTCTCTTTTATACATACATATATAAATGTTTTATTTCTTGAACTTTTTGGTATACACATCAATAAGCTTTTTTTAGGTTTTTTGTTTTTTCAAAGGTACACTTTTTTTGGGGGTGGGAGGTAAAAAGGGGTTTTTGTGAGTTTGAGTTTTGTAGGTTATTTTTTTTAGATGCATGGTATGTTCTTCTTTGGTTTTTTTGAGAAATAATAGAAATTCAAATAAAACAATCAATTTCTGGTTCTTGTTTTATTGAATTTGTTGACTGTTATTTCGATCAGTGTCTTAAGTAGCCCCTTTCAGTCAATCAATTGTGCAAAAGCTTTGAGAGTGATTCTTTTTTATCAATAAAGACACATGCACACCCGCAATCTGGTCCGTCATAGAACCGATGACCGCACTTCCAAAGTGAAAGCTTGCATAGTAGATTATGATACTCTAAGCTTTAAATTGACATGAAAGCTTGAAGAAAACTTTTCTGGCACACAAATATGTAAACTAATCAAACTTAAACACATATAGGAGTTTTCTCATCACAAGTTGGAGTACCCTTAGATCGATGACCATCATAACAAGAAATCATTCTACCTATACAGATAGGTTCTCCATCTTTACAACTCGGTTGATCACCTGAGCAACTTAATGATTTCCCTGATCTGTCACAGCACATAGGATATTGACCAAAGATAGTCAAGGTCATTGAAAGCATCAGTGAGACGAATTTCACGAGCTATTGTAAATTAAAAGATCATAATTTATGTATCGTTAATATAAGTGTTCCGAAACTCGGTATGAATATAGAAAAAACGTACCATTTTTTGATGTTAAATGTTTTGTACGGTAAGGTTTTGAGGTCTTTTTGAGTAAAGTTTTTATTAGAAATCTTTTTTTGTTAGATCTTTATGCTCGGGTTTCCTGTGAATCGAGTCTGATAACATATCAGTGTATTAATATACATAAACAGTTGGGGAAAAAATGAGAATATAGGTAAAGAAAAATTCACTTGGTTAAGGAAATGGGTTAAGGAAAGGTCTTTTCAGAATATGTGAATGCGGAGGGTGTGTGTATGTCCTTAATCAAACTGTGGTACTTTTACGAGAAATGAGAAAGAAGTGTTAAAGGAAGTTGTGGTATTTATAGTATACACCGATCCTGTGCTCCCCCACCACCACTACCTAAACGCGGCTGGCCCACCCTCTTGGTCTCAGACTAGGAAGAGAGAGTTTGTTGAGTTAGAAGTTAGACTTCCTATTGAGGACTCGCGATCAGATTTTTGAATGTGTATTATGTTTTCTATGAGACGGTGGCTGGCTGATGAGACCTTGGGTGTGGGGGTGGGTTTGGAAACGTCTGTGGGCTGGGCTCGCTTGCTTTGTGCGAAAGAATCAGAAAGAAAACAAAATCAAATCAAAAAAACAGAAATTAAAAATCACTTTTGAAAAGTATTATTCAAGGCATATTGAATGATCAGGAATGTTGCTTTGGAGGGGTTGGAATGAAATGTATCAACATTTGGAATGCGGGTTTTTTTGGATTGAAGATGATTAGAAATCGATATTTTTACATCAAAAGGTTTGTCATCTAAAATGTCTAGAGTTTAGGCACAATGTCTAGTTAAAGAATTTGATTTTTGTGACTTAGAGGTCAAGTTTGTTGATGAGTAAGTTTGATTTGGGTTCAAGTTTAGTCAGTTTGCTTGTGCAGATGAAAGTTGGAGTGATGTGAAAAGAAGAAAAAAGGTGATGAGATGTTACCAAATCATTCAGGATTATCAAAACTACTAGCAATACCCTCATCCTGTCCATAACAACTTTTCACAACATTGGGTTTATGGTTACCATACTATTACCACAAGTGTTTGATGGCAAAGTGCCATATTTGACTGTACAACCCTGGGCCAGCAACACAGACTTTGCGTGCTGCGCTGCGCTTGCATTGCGGTTTTTCTGACCGCACCGCACCGTAGAATGAATTTCTCAGTTGCGGCCTGACCCGGGGCCGTAGCGCAACAGGATTGCTCGAATTGGTTGTTTTTTTGCGCCGCAACAACATTTGCTGCATTGCTGCACCGGAAAACTTTTGAATTGATGTTTTTTGGGTGCTGTTCAAACTTATCTATGTCCCTCGTGTTGGCCCTGTTGGTACAAGTACCATGTACCTCCAAGAGATAAGTTTGGCGCTGTTGCGCCTGTTGCGTTGCGCAACAGTTGAGGTGCCACACAACCTAGCCTGAATTTTTTTGTTGTGGTATTTACCACAACACAGCGTCTGCTGCTTGTTGGTGTTGCGTGTTGCAGAGCAACACATCAAAAAGCAGGTGTGCTGCAATGTGTTGCGTTGCTGGCACAGGGTTGTTTGACACAAACAAAAGTCATTACATAGGTAATTTTCACTACCAAAGACTACACTGAACCTCTAACTATAGACTTTGCAGAATAGAAGGATCTCACCTCTCACCTCAGTGCAAAGTGGCTGGGAGTCATGTTGGACCACCAGCTCAAATCCTCTCAATGTTGCCATGACATCATTGCCAAAGGTAAACAGAGAGCTGGGTTCTAGCCTCATTGGCAAAATCAGAGTGGGGGATCCAACCCCACCTTGTGAGAAAACACCTGTCTGCTACTGTCCATGTGGCTACCAACTTGGTCAACCTTTGAGCCACCAAGATACTTACTTGACCACTTAACCACCATCAACAACACCTGCACCAGAGTGGAACTTAGTGCCTTCATACCACTCCTCAGTTTTTTTACTCAGCACAACATCAGCCTTGTTTTGGCCAGAGACCAGGTCTGAAGCAAGGATCATGAGCTTTATAGCTAGATTGATAACTAAACCCAGACCACCCTCTTTTCCCAGTTGTCCAACAGGCCCAGAACTCAAACACACAATCACACCAAACCATTTATGACTAATTTGTCAACATGAGCTTGGAAAGGAATTTCTTCCTGTTGATCCAACCAACTCGCTCATGATCAGACCAGACAATTACTCAACAATCATCCAAGACAACAAAGGTCTCCCCATTGCAGGCACAAAGCTACTTAAGCATTCCAAAGAGCATCTAGTCTTATGCACTGATTGCTACCGTATACCAACAAAGAACACATTGGCTGATGAATGGTGTTCCAATAGTAACAAGCTCAACATCTGGGCAAAGCATGTTTTCACAGTATCTACAGGCCAACCCGCACAGCTGCATAACCTGTGATAATACATAGAAAAAATCCTGAATCTTGAGGGTTTTTACTGCCAAATTGAAAACAGAATTGCATAACCCGTCAAAATGCATAGCAAAGGTCTTGCACCCAAATTATGCAATTCCGCAGATTAGAATGTATCAGGCCAAGTAAAAAGGAGTTCACCTTGGCCTCACCATTCCCCTAAAAGAATCAACCACTTCCACATAACAGATTTCCATCATCCTTGACAACCAGTCTGTTATTCAGTACCTACGTAATTGCCTGACATGTGTTGCCTCTCTTCTGGATAGAAAAGAGATGTTCAAGATCTTCAAGTACTTATTGTCAACTTTTGCCAAAAGGGCAAGAGTCCAGTTGTGCCCGAGCCACCAAGGAGTTTGAGGTAAGGCAAACTTAGACAAAATTGCTAAGAGCTTGGCATCATGTGATTTGCCAAGCACCTTCAATTCAATCCATACCCTTGCATGTTTCACAACAGTGATCAAGGCATGGGCAAAATTGGACAAAAATAATTTTAGTGCTGAAGATATTAAACAACTAGGCCAGAAGCCATTTCCAAAGAAACACCTCAGAGCCTTAAGCAGCCTGATGAAACACAAAAGCACAACCATAACCCAGCTGAGATCAAACCACATCTGCTTGAACTTTTATCTATTCATAGACAACCAAATATCCAAACCCCTGTGTGATTACCAGGATGTATTTGAGTCTATTGACGGTTGACCACTTCATATTCACATGCCATAGATACCAAAAACAATTTGAAAAACTCACAAACACCCTACAAGAATTACAACTCAATGAATCAACCAACATCCTCAACAATCCCAAGACCTTTGAGTGCATAGCAAAATTTTGCAACAACACCTGGCGCTTAAAAGACTGTGGGGTCTGGGCAAGAATTTCAGATGAGAACCTCCCTCGCGACCTCCCCATTCCTCTCATTCAACCTGTATAAACATCTCCTTCAGCACCATTATTTGATCAACACACACTTGTACCTACGTTGAGACAGCCAGCCTGTTTCCTTTTGCCCACTGGGGTTTTCACTGGAGTGGTGCACATAAGTAGTAGTGCCTGATAGCCTTAAGCTCTGAATGCACTCAAAGCTGAATTAAAAAAAGTTTGGATTTGACGAGTCACAAATTTACCAGAAACAAAATTCTTCACACTTATTATAATATAGTTCAATATCCAAACCAACCAGATTTCTGAACCTGTATTACACCCTGTCCCTGTCCTACCCTTTCACAAAGATGTATTAGAATTCAGTTAGGATTGAGCTCTCTTATCCAGGCCACCTTGCATGGGGTATGTCTATTGAGAGAGCCCTTGAACTGATCAGTGATCTGGAGAGTGGTTAGCATAGGAAACGGCCAGGCACTCAACCCATCTTTCTAGTAACCAAGGTCTATTGGGTTCATGTTGCCTTACAAAAGGTAAACAGGATTCAAAGAGTTTGTTCACAAAAGATCCAGTTTGATGCTGACCACATGGTCACGAGTAAGCGGATTGCCAAAGGGAAATCAATCCTTACTGTTCTCAGCTATTTCATGTAGATACATGATGAATCAATTGCTGGATCACAGATTCATTAAATTTTGAATTCCAAATTTGTTTTTTTGGCAAGTCTCATTTGGTTGAAAATGAAATGTTGATAAGTCGAAAAATGACAGAAAACAAATCTGCAAATTATTTTGTATCACAAAAGACTAGTTTTAGAAGATCAATTCGATTCTATCAAAAGAAAGTTATACATTGTCAGTCAAAAAGCCACCATCAATTCAGTCTGATGCTATCCTAAGCATCAAAAATAAGTGGGGGAAAATGGTCGAGATACAAAGTCTTGAATCACATCAAATTCTATGCCTTTAAACTTGCAGAAATCTTCCAATGGAATCAATATAGAATCCAGTGTCGGATTAGGTGGAAGATTTCTATATTTCATAGGCATTACTAATTTCTTCAAATTAGGGAACACATCACTGATAATAAAATCTATAAACTCAGATAGTCCATCTTCAGATGGATCGCGCACTGTGAGATGAAGAAGATTTGGACAATCTGTAAAGCATTGAAACGTTTCGCACGCAAAATTACGGTATATCGTTAGATGTGTTAAAGCAGGTAGAGAAAACCGATGGATTGTTGGGTCGAAGTCAGGTGGCACCTCGTCTTGTTCAGAGTAATGGCGTTCTTCAAGTTTGAGTTCGAGGTCAATCAGGTGAGGAGCCCAAGAGCTGATGTACAAAGGCAGATTTGATGACCACATATTGAGATAGTGATAGAGCACGAGTTTGACCAACTGGGGGGGAGCTTCATGACGTGCCCAAGAGTCATCTATCACATCAACATATATTAGAGCCAGAACTTTCAGGTTTTTGAGATCGTGAAGAGAGCTAGCAAGACAATCAGTACGCCCCCAGTGTTTAACTGAAATATTTGCTAGCTCCAAAGATCGTAGTAGTGGTAGATGTTTGATAGGTTCGATTATGGACTCTGCAGGTATTGATGAATAGGGGGGAGCTGTGTATGCGAGATATTGAAGACGTTGAAGATGTTGAAGATTGGAAAATAGTGAAGTCAAGTTGCAACTCAGGTTAGACGCTTTTCTTGTTGAAAAAGACAGCCAATGACCCGGAAATTTGAAACAAATCGATGTGAGATTGTTACATTGAGCAAGTACTTTGAGGAGTTCTTCTGGACTTGGAACAGGTGATTTGTTTAGCACAACATCCTGTTTGACTTCAAGGAGACTTCTTTGAACGTTGGGGGCGAGTTTGTGAAAATCGACGGCTTCGGCTAACAGAGCTCCATGAGTGTTGAAAGTTCTGGGACGATCACCGATAGACTTGAGAAACTTGAATTTGTTCAGATCGGACGACCGCAAAGTAAGATGATGTTGATTTCCTTCACGGACAGTCTGTCTAATAGAGACAGGGCTATGGGGTTCTCTGATCCACTCGCCTCTCAAATCCGCGTAAAATTCTTTAACGTAACAAGCATATTTCGGTAAGATTTCCTGGTTCCAGAAAGACATGGGACGTGGAATTTCACCATCAATCGCAAGACACTAGACCACAAGGGTAGAGAAAGAAAGACATCATATGATAATCAGTCATTGGGGATCAGTCATACTTGTTTCAGTGAGCGGAAGAAAACTCACTTGCCATAGGACAGGCTGACAGATTTGATGAATCCGACGATTACAAACAGAAAAGGATTGAAAGCTAGTCATGATAGGAGCTTCTGGTTTGTGTTCATAAAGGTGTAAAGGTTCTGTGTCTTCTGACACAAGAGTGATGATCTGCTTGTTTTTCTGATGATGATTTCCTTTGTAGTGAGTCCAGTCATTCAAAATATATCCTACAATCTCAAGTATGGTTTCATCAGGTAGTTGACCAAATAAATCTTTTGGGATATTTGCTTTGCTTGAGTTTGACATCTGTGTTTGATTGATGTGGTTTGACTTTTGCTTAGTGCTCATGGGCAATTCTGAGCTTTGAAGAGGTAAACAAGATAGAGAACAACAAAAGATTGGATTATCTTGAACAACTAGATTTCTGAATTCACCCGTATACCCGGTCGTAAAGGTGTATTCGCAGGGAAAGCGCATGGACGCGACCTCGAAGATTAAATTTGATGAAAAGAAAGCAAGAAAGGTACATAAAAGCGTGGAAAGTAGCGAGCTTTATATAGATAACCAGAAAACCACTTATTTCATGCTGTTTGCGGAACAAATGACGTCATGATTGAAAGATTGTTTGGTATCATCCAAGAGTTTAGTAAGCCTTGAGAACAGTTATCTTTCATGATCTCTCCACATGAATCTGTCTCACCATTGACCCGAGCACTTTTCACAACTCTTCACAGCTGCTGACCAAGGATGACAGTGAAGGGCCACTGTCTATTTTTTCTGGGTTCCTTTAGGCTAGTAATGAACGTTTTCTACCAATTGATCCAAAACAGATTTAAACCCTTGCAAATGCTGATTCTTTCGATGTAAGATTTGATGGAAGGATCCACAGTAACGATGAAGTATGATCGTGATGAGTTTACTCTTGGAACAGCTCTTTGATTTAGCATTCCAAGAGCTCGAAATGCTTTATAGCTTGAGAAATCAAAACTTTGACATTACCAGAGTTTAAAAAATATCCAAATTTAGCAGGACAAGTTTTGGGTTATTCACAAACCCGTTTTATAAAGAACTGGCCGAGTACAACATGGGCAAGTCCCTATGCAAACATATAAACAAGAAAATAAAAAGGCCAGCGCATTGATTGTGAAGATAAGCTTTGCAGATTCTTTGGCGCGTTCGATGCGGATGCGCCACGCCCACCACCCGACCTGAATGTCATGCGGGTGCGGCCTCATGCTGTGCCGGTCGCTTTGCATGCATGGTGCACGGCTCAGAATGTAGCTTGTAAGAATGCTGTTTCGGGCGCGTTCAAAACACAGTTTTGAAAAATGTAAACAACCAAATTTTCAGAACCTTCATTACCGTGCAAGTGACTTCAACACTTCATCAACTTCATAACTTTTACAATTTCATCATCACATTCAGTTTTCAATCACTCGTTACTTAAATCGATCCACTATCACTCATCGGTACATGAAAAGACTAGCTTATTCAAAATGACGCTGGCACCATTAACCACTTTCTCACCGCTTCGGATACGGTCTGCTGAGACGCCGCCTAAGTTGGAAAGGACGTTGACTCCTGGTCGGGAGATGACGAGAGAAGAACGTAAAGTGGCTCGGAGAAGGGATGGGGGAGGACTGTGATTCATGCTTTTCTCTATTTGAACTGCTTGACCCTCTCAATTTCTGCTTCCACTGATGCACTCTTGGTATCCCCGAACTTTCAGGGACACAGCATACGTTGCGAAACGGATGACTTTCAAGCTGCCTTCTTTCATTGATCAGAGCCAGCCACCTATCAAGCTTCCCGTCTCACGTGATGTTGCCGATCCTTCTTTCGTCAGCCTGAAACAGGCCGGACCTTCGCAGGCTTCCCTTCCTGCTTTGACCGCCTCTACTTCAAAGCCACAACCCAACGCGAAATCGAGTCTCTCGTCATCTCAATCCCAATCTCGGGCAACTTCGGAAAATCTCAAGTCCCATAGCCTGACCACGAAGTCTAAGGGTCGGCTGTCCAATGAAGCGTTAGCAAAAGGATGGGGAATTGAAACTTCCCACAAGCGGGTCTCGAGTCACGGAACTACACGTGTGACACGTCCATCTTTGGAAGCTGGTTCATCCGGCTCAAGCAAGAAGCGAGGAAGACCTGAACCTACAGGTGATGACGAGGCGGCCTCCTCTGCTGCACCACTGGCTTCTGCCAAGGTGGGGTCTGATACTGCGGACCAAGGTTTCCAAAAAGGGAGCAAATCCAAAAAGGCTCCACCGGCTCGGCCAAAGTCTCGAACCGAAAAGAGCCAGTCTACACAATCAGCAGACACGGATATCATGTGAGTATGAGCTCTTCTATCTCATGCCTTGATATTGTATACAAAGCTTATGAAGTACCGATTACTATATTATGTTAGATCACGGAAAGACCAAAAATCAAAAGCAGTAAATGATGACCTAGTTGGGTCCAGAGACTTCAAAGTCACCTCCGCAATTTCACCTCATCTACCAACATCAAATCTCAGTACTTCTCCAGAGATTCGCAACAGGCGGAATATGACTGAACTCTCAAAAGATTCAAGTGTACCCTTGAGGGAAAACACGAACCGCAAAAAGCGAAAAGTCAGTCAACCCACGCAAGATGATACTCAGCTTTCCGACGCCAATAAGGACGCTGCTTCCTCATCGACGGATCATTCGCAACCGAAAGCACGTAAAGACGAATCCCGAACCAATCAAAATCATTTAGAGCTTCAGCCTACGGGCATCATCGATGCCAAATCTCGCAATTTCTCGAATAGTAATTCAAGGACAACTACACTTACAAAGAAAGAGAAAAGGCCTGAGTCGAACAAGATACCTAATCTGCCGAACCGTGGCATCGAAGCAAATCGATCAAACATGCCATGGAAGCCTCTAGATTCGGTGGATAGCCCAGTCACGCCCGCATATGCCAAAGCTTTTCCTAGTTTGACATCCACCCTTCAAAGAACTATCGCCTCACCCGCTGATCCTATTGTGAACAGGCGTCTTTCAACACAGCTTTCAGATATCACCAATACGATTCACTCGGCACGACCATCAGGCACGCTTACTACTACTACCCAGACTTCTAAGAATCCTGAAAAGGAGGTAGTGCGCATTAGCAAAACGGTGAAGAAGGGCACGGCTAAACTTGACCCGATGGTTAAGTCTTTGGAACAGGAAGAATCGCTCGCGCTTTCTGATCGAGGCAAAAGGCTTGGAGAACAACATCAGCAGGCCTCAAGCAGTGATACAACTCAAATGGCTGAGGGTACCTCTACCAAGCCGCAGGCATCCATTAACGATGATATCAGTGCTTCTGACGCAGCTCATGTACGGCCGCCACAAAATAAGGGACGAAGTGTAATCAAGGATCTTCGCAAAAACAGATCGGAAAGTCCGGATACAGTCGATAGTGATGTCGGCACCCATCGACCTCACGTCGAGAATTCGACATCCTTAAATGCTGGATCAGCTAGCGGATCTACCACCAACAAGCGATCTATTGACCCTTCTCCGAAATGGTCTGCTTTGGATACTGAAGTTCCTCAACCGAAGAAATTGAAGAAGCTTGCTCACAAAGTTTTTACGCCAGGCAAACCATCTGGTAATAAGGGACATACGACACGAGACCGACCGGATGAAGTACCTCCTGTAGGTCTAACAATGCACTCGAATCAAGCTAAAAATACTTGTAATGAAGATGAATTATACGTTGTTACGGACCGATTTGTGGATGATGAAGATCTGGAAGATTTGGAACCAACTCAATCAAATGAAAACTCGAAACTTTTGATCAAGATTAAAAATCAATTAAATCCACCTGATATAGTATGGATTTCAATTAGGAAATTATTACAAGATGAAATTGATAATCTTCCAAAAAGTTATGAAATCGAGAATCATGAATCAAAAGAAAAAGAATGGTTAGAAAGAGTTTATGATCGATTTAAGTTACGAATGATGGAATATTCTGAAGAAATCATTAAACATGGTTTATTAAAGTTAAAATTACAAAAATTAATCGAACAAGAGAAAACAGAGAAGAAAACAAATGAAGAAGTTCAAGAGAATGGAGTAACTCAAGTACCTCTTTCATCTTCAAGTTTAAAAAATCAAGGTCTTGATGAGAAACCTAAACAAAGTCGACCGTTTAAGAAAGATAAGAAGATTAATGTTTCAGCTGAAGTTGATGATCTGGTTAACAAGCCTACCAAAAATCTTTCAAATGTTTCTAAACCTATCAAAACTAGTAAACCTAATAAAAATCGAGGAAAGTCAAATTCAAAAACTAAGAAAGCTAAATAAGACGTATATCTATTCTCTTAATACCTATATCACAACCCCTTTGCATGTTGATATTTTTTTATGTTTCATCGAACCAAGGACAATATGTACTTTGGAACACAGCGGTAAGATCTTTTAATCTCAATTACTGATGTGTATATAAACAGTAATTCTTTACCTTATCTCTCTCATTCATCATGGTTAAAGACCTTACATATGAAGTTTAATTTGTTTTGATTGTTTTGAGTATCAAATTGTTTTTTATTCTAAATTGTATGAGTATATACATATTATATATTAAGATAGAATATGTAAAGTCTGTAACTCGCTTCTTGAAGTTGATGTTGTTGTACTTTGAAAAAAATATGATTAATTGAATTCTTTTTTCCTTCAAGTTGAGATTTTTTTGGTTTTACTTTGACAAAGTTATCGCATTCTACGTATGATCATTCCCAACCTTGGACTATGTAACATGAATTGCAGCCTCCATTGCCTCAAAACACTTGAATTGATTATAAATTCGGGCAAGTAATTGTTATAAAGACAGTCAACCTATTGATGTAAAGTATCTTTGATCAAACTAATGTGGCACTTGTCCCTTAATCATTCTTTCTTTACACAACTTCAGGCCACACCAAGAATTGCTACCAAAACTTGTGGGTTTCAAGAATCTAGAGCCGTCACCAAGCTTACATTTAGAAAGTTTTTATCATATGGTACTGCAGCAACAGTCCGTATTCTGGTCCTTCATACGTGGTTCCATCTTCCTTCTGCTGTTCGTCCGTTGATTGGAAAACATTTTATCAGCATTGAATCGGTATATTGTAAAGGATCATCATGGTAACACCTATATTAGTTTCTAGAATTGCTGTTCCATCCCAACATATTCAGCTTTCTTCATTTCAATTCACGGCGTCATGGACAAAATGTGGCGGAACAGATTCTGTCGTAAGCTTAACTCCAGCCGTGATCTCAAACATCTCTCCTTGCGCGTTGTTTCCGACCCATATGGTTCCAAGGCCGCAATGATCGGCTGAAATGATGAGGAAATTCGTATCCCAAGTAATCACATGTTGAAGGCTTCGTGGCGGAGTTCATGACTACTGCATTCACGGTGACTGGATTCGTGGTGATATCGGCACCTTTTGCAAAGCTTACCTCGACATACTTCAAAGTATGACATGGTGATTTTCGTCTCTGCATCTCCTCACATCCATTCCAAGTCACATTAAGCTTGTGAATACTTCATTTCTGAAACCTGGTGTTCTATTATTCCTCATCTTTAACAACTCGACTACGCTTTTATCTATACTATTCATATCACTCACTTTCAAGTACCAACCAAGTTTTTCAATCTCGATCAAGTCACTTTGTCCATCATGCTTGCCTTCATACATTTTATCAGAACTCTCTTGTTTTTATCCACCGCGTGTGCCGCTGCCACCGTGTCTAACAATCACAACATTCAAAACAATCAAAACAATCAAAACAAGCCTGATCCCACTGTTCAACAATGCGGACGTTCGTGGGGAGACTTTGCAAAGCTTGGTCCCGATAGAAAAGGTATACCTAACCAACTAGCTTGCAATGGCATGATTTACATGTTTTGGATGTTGATTACTGGTTACAAACTACCTAGGTTGTCTGACCTATGGTTCAGTCCATTACGACTGTGGAAAAAATGATTGTGGGATTGGAGAAGCGCCAGCGCCTGGTGTAAAATGTATGTTGATTTCTACATTCTTGTTTTGGTATTCACCAACCAATCACCATAGAATTAATCATGCTAGTTTTTATTCCATTTTGTCTTGTGAATGTAGCCAGTATTCCCATTCCGCTCTTTTCTAATTGTAGGAAGTACCTTGATAAATTTGGAGATGACTCAAAACTCGACTCCAAGAATATCACAGCTTTGGCAATGTCTTATTTCTTTGATTACAAGAACAAATGGGTTCGTAAGTATATATTTCTCTCATCATTCTCTTTCTTTACAGTTTTTCATGATTTTTTTTCGAAAAAACAAACTAGGGGTAATTGGCTACGACTCACTACTCAAAGGGCCGCCTGCCGGCGACTTACCTGGGTACACGTGCCTGATACCTGCTGACCCTCCAAAAGTCATTGAAGGTTAGTAACTTCCTTTTCATTCTGAATCTCCCTATCACTCTTTACTTCTACTGACAACAAATCTGATCATGATGGTCTTCTCTAGTCTGTCGAAACTGTACACTCCTCCATAACGCCACGTGGTGAATGTGATCAATGTGTTTTAAGCTTCATATCATCCATTCGCTTTGCAAAGATTGTTCTCAAATTACTGTGTATATATACTTGTAGATATGTAGAGATATGGACTTTTTGATTTCATTCATTCTCTTTGCAATTATGCTAGGGAACTCGCCCTTTTATCACATATACATCCGCACCAGGATTTGTGAGTTGATGTGCCAGATGAGTTCTGTTTTAGTACAAAGAAACAGTGAGCGGATAGAAGAAACCAAGAGCAATTGACACTTACCACCATATATTGATAATAATCCACAAAGAAACAAGAAAGATATCATTATAAAAAGATTTCGATTTTTAAAAATCTTTTGATTCTTTAGGAATTTCCATGGTCCAAATTATATTTTCATTGGTTTCAATTTCAATCACTTCAGTACATTTTGCAACTTGATTAGAAGTCGATAAAAGCCCAGTCATAGAAGTAATCGTATCATCTATTCCAAACAAGAAACCAAAATCATGTTCATCAAAAGAGGAGCAATCAAATAAGGATCGAATGACTTACCAAGATCCCAACGTAATCCCTTGGTAGTCACAATAGCTTCATTAACTCCAATAGGTAATATTCCACAAGTCAATTCACTTTCTCTTTTCCAACTCTTTTCAATCATCAATTCATGTTGAAATTCTTTATTAATAACAAAAGTTAGATTTTTACTAAAACTATCCACCACCCAAACCTGCCTTTCATAAGATCTCTTAATCACTTCTTCTTCGTTATCTTTTGTCATTTTTTCATTTCGATTGATTGGTTCTAACTCTAATTTCAAAAGTGTATGTAAAGTATGAATAGTTTGATCAAGTCTACCACCAATTCCACCATGAATCAAAACCCAAACCAATTCATCTCCTTCTCTTTCCCGTTCAATTTCCTGAACCAATGCCAAACATTTTCCTAAATCAGTCGAATCTTGATCTCTATCCAAACAAATCTTAACCCCTAACCCAGAATAATAATCTTTAACTGATTCTTCAATAGAATCTAAATCTCCTTTGATGAAATCCGGTTTGAAATCTGAATTAAAATCGTATAATCGATTTGATCCTCCATCTGCACAAATCCTTATGGTTGATGAATTCCATAGGTTTGTAAAGATTGATGGTTCGGTTTTACATATTGGTGTGTTTAGGATGATTAAATAAGTTTTTGGGTTCATGGTTTGTGGTTTGAGTAGGTTTGATAAGTTCCATTGTTTGATTGGTTTTTTCTTTTTAGATTCGTTTGACATTAACTTGTGTGTGTTGTTCGATCAAATAATAAGTGGTGTCGTGATGGCCTGATGATCGACTCTGGATTTCATAACTTTCTACAAAATACTCGACACTCAGGGTCAGAGTCGGTTCGAGTTTCAACTTGTCAAGTCCGGGTAACTTCGAACAACTTTTCTCGCGCGCTTCGATCAGTTTGCTCTGACTGATCGAAGCGTGCGAGAAGCAGCGTGGGGCTTGGATCTGCTTGGATAGGCTTGGATAATGATACCATACTATATTTGACTTTGACTCCGTCTAGTTGATTTCTATATTTATAACTTTTGGTATTATATTCCTGAATCCTTAAACTTTTCGTGAGATAATCCTCAGGCTCAGCACGCTGCACACCTCTCAGCCAAAGAGTCAATCTCATGGTGCTGCTTAAATAGGCAATAAACCTCAATAAACACCCTCAAATACCATCACCAAATAGATTTTTGTTTTAGTTTCGAGATCCAGTTGATCTCCTTCATGGCACTCTATTTTATGATGTGAAGTTGCCAAAATCCAAACGTTCGCATGTGTCTATATGGCCTCTCACACCCGGGAGCATAGTGTGCTAATTGATCCAGGGTGAACTAGAAAAACCGAAGATAAAGTGCCCAGTTCTTTAGGCCAGCAACGACCGAAAGTTCTTCCTTCCTTCCCTGACTCTGTCTCAAGGTTTCCACAACGACATTCTTTCGAGGTCATCTACCAAAAACAACGGTAATTTTTCTACATTCTTTGAGACGGATACAAAGTTAAAACTGGGATTTTTTTCCCAGTTTCCCAGTTTTCGTTTTTGGCTGTGTTTGCAACTTTCCCACATTCTCCCAGTTTCCCAGTTTGCGTTTTTGGCGGTATTTGGGAAACTGGGAAAAAACTCCCAGTTTTAACTTTGTATCCACTAATTCTTTCTCGTATCTTTTGTCTATATGACCCACATCGCATCATAGCTCCTGTGATCAATTCTCGCTCCTTAAGACTTGATGGCTTCTCGTTCCCTACGGTCCAGCGTTGCTTTGGCTCTCCTTGTCCTTGCTTTAGTTAGCACTTTTGGTTCTTTAAGTGCCGCTAGCAATTTGCCTGAAGATGCACCCTTCACCGTACCTAAGGAAAATATGGAGTCTAGCTTGAAATGTATTGATGCACATGAGCCGATGGACAAACCGGGTGGAGTGATCTTACTTGTACATGGTACTTTATCTACACCTGATGTTTGGGTAAGTCTCTCTCTCCAATCTCAACTTTGTATCCATTCAGAACCATTATCATGGGTCTTGTTCTTCAAAGCTGACCAAAAAAATCAATTTACCTTCAGTTCAATTATATTAAACTTTTACCCACGTTAAGGCCAGGATATGACATCTGCCACGTCAACCTTCCAGATTTTTCATTGGGTGATGTTCAAGTTACATCGGAATATGTGGCATTCGCAATCGACTCTTTTGCTCAAAAATCTGCTACACAAAAGGTAAAAATCATCTCTCATAGCCAAGGGTAAGTCACTCAAAGTCCTCTTCAACAATTTTCATGGTCATCAAAGTGTCGATCAACGAAATAAATCTTGCTGAAGCTTGCATTTTTTATTCCTTCTCAGCGGTCTTAATACTCAATGGGCTTTGAGTGAGTTCAAAATATTTCTATCTTTGATCTCGAGACTAATGTATTTTCTATTTCAATAGCCTTTTGGCCTTCATTGAGATCAAAGGTAGACACCTTCATAGCATTAGCAGCTGATTTCAAAGGAGCAAAGTCAGCCGAAACAGCATGTGAAGAAGCATGTCCGATCGCCTATGCACAACAAAAACCAAACTCAAATCTCATCCAAGCTCTTGATTCCAATCAAGATTGCGAGAGTGGAGCTTCAGCTTTAGTTTCAACATTTTCAATTTATTCAGAATCAGATAACATTGTCACTCCAGAATTCCCACCCAATGAAGCTGCAAGTTATTTATCGGGTGCAAAGATGATACCTATTCAATCATTCTGCGGAGAGGCTTACAATTTGACACATATTCCAATCGTTTTCGATTCTTCAATTTATCAAATCGTACAAGATGTTCTTGAATTCAAATCTTTCCTACCTTCTAGAGCTAAGCTACCTTGCCAATTACAACCACGTAAGTAACTTTTATCCAATCCTGGGGTTTTGAGCAAATTGATAGATCAAAATTTCTTTTTTGTTCTCTGTCTTGTACCAGCTGTGCCAATGGATCCGAATATGATGCCAAAGAGTCCTTCCTTATTGAGAAAATCAAACCTTGAACCTGGTCTGAACGCTTATGTCTGTAGTAGGGGATATGCTACTCAGTGCAACCCTTGAGTAGATTCTTTGGTTCAGTTTTTCATTTGAATGACTTGTTACTATGAAGTGTGAGTTTTTCATTTGTTATGAATGTCGCTTAGTTCATCGAAAATCTTGTCAATCAAGACAGAGAAATCAAGCAAGGATATTGAGGTTATTGTATATATTATGTATCAAACTTGGTGTCTGCAGCGATAAGAGTTTTGTTAACCCTGAGGTTTCTGGAATATCGATATCAGTTTTGAGACATGCTTGCTTGCAAGTAGTAACTCATCATTTCATTTTTGAGGGTAAAAAGAGCTCTATGCAAATATTCTTCTGGGAGACGTTTGTAAGTCTACCTTGAGCATGTTTCCTGCCTCCCTCGTGGTGACGCCTCATACCGTCACCTGAGAGGGTCTTTCCTTTTCAAGATCTGGTCTCCTTCATGACATTCTATTTTATGCTGTGAAGTCAAATATTGATATCCTTTCACACCTGGTGCATGTGCCTGGCTGTCACACCTGTAAGATGAAATTGAGTTGATTGATTCTTGAGAAACCAAGGGTATAGGCTCATTCACGATGGCTACAACGATCAATCTGTTCTTCATTTTACCTAAATATCTCCCTGATGGAGTTCTCTGCCATAAAATTATTTTGATAGTTTTTATCATCTGAAAGGCATCTTCCCTCTATGTTCTTTGAGAGATTTCTTCTTCAAGGTATTGCTCGTCCAATGATTCATAGCTCCACATAGCTCTTGTGATAGTGTAGCAATGGCTCTGATATGCCCCGACCCAGGCGTAGCTACAGCTATGATATGTGAAAGGCTCAGGCTGAAGTTGTTAGTCAACTATAACTGCGATAAGGCCCATCTATTAACTTGGCCTGAGATACAATTGATGTACAAGGCATAAGCTTTTTTCAAACCACGATATCACCTTGTGAAGCTTAGTCTGTAAATATAAAGAACCCTTCATGAGATTCTAAATGTTCTTCAGTCCTCCTTGATCTGAATTTTCATATTTTTTACACTTCTGTTATCAATTTCATTGCTTATATATATATCTTTTTTTGTCATCTAATTGTGTTATATTCTCTTCTGTCGATATCATTTTATATACGTTATCTTCTTTCTCGGTTATCGTCTTTTTCTGTGTATCATTTGCGATCCTCACTAGGCCGTGAGACTACTAAAAACTCCACAAGATACTTTTTTCTCAACCACTGATCTTCTGCTATCCTATCAGAATAATATTTGTGATCTTTTTCGTTACGACATAAACTTGGTGAGATCTCCTGAAGTTGCAAGACAGTATCACACAAACTGGTTATACAAATCACCCTCTTACGAATATTGATCAATCGAAGTTCATTCAGATATGATGGCTATCAACTCTCTACGTTTGAGTGTTAATTTGACTCTACTTGGCTTTGTATTAGTCAACATTCTTGGTTATTCAAGGGCCGCTAACAATTTACCTGAAGATGCACCCTTCACTGTACCCAAGCAAAATGTGGAGTCTAGCTTGAAATGTATTGATGCATCAAAACCGATGAACAAACCAGGTGGTGTGATCTTACTTGTACATGGTACTTTATCTGCACCGGATACCTGGGTAAGTCTTTCTCTCTCACTCTGATTTTACCTTTTGATCTCATTAAAAATATCTCTACTTTTTGTTTTCGAAAACTGATTGCAAAAAAAATTCAATTTACTCTCAGGATCATTATGTAAAAGTTTTACCAAAAAAATATAATGTTTGTACCATCAAATTACCAGATAATTCATTAAGTGATGTTCAAGTTGCATCAGAATATGTGGCATATGCAATCAAAATTTTGGCTCAACAATCTGATACGGAAAAAGTTAAAGTGATCTGTCATAGTCAGGGGTAAGTTTATTCAATCTTCTTTTCAACAATTTTTCAATAGAAAGTCATGAAGTTGCTGATTTATTATTGTTGTTGGTTTTTGTATAGTTGTCTCAATACTCAATGGGCTTTAAGTAAGTTTAAATAACTAATCTGATTTTGATAAAACCTCGCAAATCCTAAGACTGATGTTCTTCTTTCTGATTCAATAGCATTTTGGCCTTCATTAAGAATAAAAGTAGAAAGTTTCATTGCATTAGCCGGCGATTTTGCTGGAACAACAGCAGCAAAGATCTCATGTCAAAGTCCAAAAAAAGATTGTCCAATCTCCTATGCACAACAAAGTCCGAATTCAAACTTTCTTAAAGCTCTTAATTCAGATCAAGATTCAGATAGTGGTGCATCAGCTTTAGTTTTAACATTTTCGATTTATTCTGATTTAGATGATGTAGTAGAATCAAGTTCAAGTCAATTACCTGGTGCAAAACTTATTCCAATTCAATCTTTTTGTGGAAAGTCTTATCGGCTAACTCATCTTCCAATCGTCATTGATTCTTCTACTTATCAAATCGTACAAGATGTACTTGAATTTAATTCTTTTTTACCTTCTAGAGTTAAATTCCCTTGTCAGTTAGAAACTCGTAAGTGATTTTTTTTCTTTCTCTTAATCCTCAAGCTCTGAGTGATATATTGAGATTTTAATTATTTAGTTCCACTACCCGATATGGATACACTGTTCAAGAGTCCTTCTTTTTCAAGAAAATCAAATCTCGAACCTGGTCTCAAGCCTTATGTCTGTAGTAGGGGATATGCTACTCAGTGCGATTCCTGAGCATTCATTTCTTTTTCATCCTTGTTTCCTATGAATGTATTTGTATATAGTCTTGAAGCTGTACCAGTTAAATGTGTCATCTGTTAAGAATTTCAATTATCTTTCAAACCCAATCAAGAAAACATCTCAATAATCATGTTAGATATGCATTGTTATGTTTCCTTATTTCATGTTAACTACATATCCATCGTTTCAAATTTGAGGTTTATATACTTCAATCTTTTTGTAAAAATCGCTTCAACAAATCCTTATCTCACTCTTCGTTCCAAGAAATCAAACCCAAACGTTTCACCAATGCAGGAAGACGATTGTATGCCATTGCCAGCCGTTCTATGCAAAAGATTATTCATACGTCATTTGTACTTTTATCAATATAACTGCCCAAAAGTAAAATCAATAAGTGCTATATACATAGCAAAGAAACAGTTTTTTTTGTGTAACGACGACAACTTTCAGAAAATCACAATCAAATTGAATATAATCAAACCAAAAGGAAATCCAGAATTGATATATAAATCCAATTGAAATTCTTCTTTATCCTTCTTTTTAAAATAATTTAATCAAGCTATCAACAATTTAAATTTCATTAACCATTTGATTGAATAAATCATTAGCATCTGACCAAACTTTTGAATTCGAAAGATCTTTTAATTGTAATAAAGTAGGTAACAAATCATTTGAGAATTGTTCAGATGCTTCACGTGGTAAAAGGGTAGGTAAATGATCAATTGAACAAACTTCCAAACTAGGTAATTGATCACTAAGAAAAAAAAACAGGTCACCAAACAAACATCACATTAGATTTCGTCATCTTTTTCAAAGGCTTCTTATTTTAAAAGATTTCACTCAACTCGATCTTTAATGTTGTAGTAGGTTGATCAAAAGTTGTGTTGATGTTGTAAATCGGAATCGGATTGTTTGGGTTGGTCGTATCACAACTTACATCGACTACCATTCTTAATGGTCGATTTGGTCCAGCAGCTTGAATAGTTTCATTTGTAACAAAACTTGGAATCTTGCTTGACAAATAAATACAATTCACAAAGATATCGACTGTATGAGAGTTCAATTGATAGAAATCAAGGATTTTGATGAGTATCGAAGGTTGTACTCTTTTGATCATGGTTTTTCAAAATGAACTTACCATTCAAGATTTCTTCAAACGGTCCACCTTTAGCTGTTTCAGCCATATCCCATTCAATTATATTCTCTCTAAACCAAAAAAGAGAAACAAACAAACCAATCAACAAAATCCAAACCGAGAATCAAATCCAAAAAAAAATCACTAACTTGTCCATTCCGACTTTACAGAAAAAGTCCACAGCACCAGATCCACATCTACCTAAAGCACCAATGACCAGAGCTTTAGGTTGTCTACCTAATTTGTCTACCAATCTTTTAAACTCGATTTGACCAATCTTAATCAATTCATCTTCATCTTTAAAAGGTTTCAATTCATTCAAACTCATCGAATCACAAATCATCTTAGAAATCCCAAGTAATCCAACAGCCGAACCATTAAAACCAGCATAAAATCCAAATGCTGCTACTCTACGTTTGGTAATTGGATCTTGTAAGAATTCTAAATCTAATAATTTACCTTGGCCAGATTTAAATCGACCTAAGATTTCTTGATATCCTGTTTGTTTTTTATAACAATGTCCAAACATTATATGTGTATGTTTTAAGGGTGATTCATCGTTTGGTGGTAATTCTTTTAATCCTAAAATTAAGGCGTCTGATGGTGCAGATGGCCATGAGTTATGTTGAACGATTTGACATCCTACTCTGGAAAAAACATAAAGTAATACAATCCATTCAAAAATCCATCTCAACATTGATTAAAAAAGTTTTTAAAAAGTCGAGAATGGTCTCGTTTGGAATTCTTTTTTTTCACTTACTTTTCAAATTCTGAATCGTTAAAGAATCTTTGTGGATCACTTTCAACAATCACCTTGAATCCATTTTCGATTAATTTCTTACTAGTCGTGGGTGTTAATGCAGATCTATGTTCAAATGGCTGTTTTTTACCAAAAAAAAAAGAAAAAAGCAATACACTTAAATGTTAATTTTGTTTCTGGATTTCAATTTTTTTTTGAAGAATTTAAGAATTTTTTAAACTTTACCTTGGTTTCACATCTTAACCAAATCAATGGTGATCTTTCTTGTGTAGTCATATCTTTTCAAGTTGTATAAAAGTAATCGATATATTTTTCTATATAGTATAAGTAAGAGATTGCTTGTTCGTTCTGAAGATCGAAGTTGATAATGTATCAATAATCGAGTGTTCTTTTTTCTTTTTTCTTTTTTCTTGGTTAATGGTATATGATTGGAATGGTATGGTATTGAAAAATTGGCAGAGTTCTTTCCTATTTCCCACGAAACATGGAATTTAAAACAAGTATCAATAACCCATACCCATACCTTATTAATCCCATACCTAAACCCATCAAACCTGATGATATCTTCTCATCAGACTTGGATTTCGATCACAGAAAATCAAACTTTCACATTTCAACTTTTTAATTTGATTTCTTTATAATCTAAAACTAATCCAATCCCAAAAAAAGTACAAAAAAAAACTACACAAATTCTATCATCTATGAAAAACCAAGGTATCTAAATTCTACACAACCAATTAATTAATTAAAATATTATTTTGAAAAAGACAAATATGATCTATCCATCTATCTACAACCTACACTTTTCTTTTCTTTTTCTTTTTAAAAATCCCAAATTTATCTCTTCAAGTTCAACTTTCTACCCAACCGATCTAGTTGATCTTGTGAAACATTAAAGAACCAAGTCGAAAAAACCACCAATCCAATACCCATCAAACTTCCTAAACTCAACTTAAACTCAAACAAAACCAAACTTAATCCAAATGAAATCAAAATCGAAACAGATGTAGCAAATCCTTTGGCAATATTATCTGAAAACTTAATCACCAATGCGTTTAATAAACCACCGATCACTTGGAATCCAATCACACACCAAACCATCCAATCAAATCCATTCCAAAACTCTTGCAACATCTTAGGTCTTTCTTTTATTATGTTTGGGGTGGATTCTTCGTATGATTCCCACCACCAAAGTGTTGATTCATCCCATTTCATTTGCCACGTTGATCTTTGATGTTCGATATGTACAATCAATCCTCCCATCAAGAATCCAAAAAAAGATAGTTGAATGTTCCGAATCCAAACAGATGTAGCACCACCAGAACCCATTCTAGGTTGAAGAGCTCCAGAAGATTCAGTATGATTGATCAAAGAAGATGGACTGGAAGAATGTCTTGTAGAAGTAAGGCGATTCGGACTCGATTTCAAGACTCGTTCGAAATAAACTGAAGCAAATCCCGAAGAAACACAAGCCAAAAGAACCGAAAGCAATCCAAGAAGTTGATTCATCTGTTTAGGTACATGTGGTAAACTTGATTCGCTACTTGATGAGATCGGAGGATGGTCTTCGGCTTGGGCGTGTAGTTGAACAGCTGCTACTCCTACACTAAGTAAGAAGAGTGCGATCCATTGAGATTTGTATAAAGTTCGGTTTAGTAATAAAACTGAACATAATGCGGTGGTTAGAATCTTTGAAAAATCATCAAATAGATAAGACATAGTCAAGAAAATTTCGAATCATAGAAAAAACCCATCAATTAGTTCAGTTGTCTGCATCAGTTCAAAGATTGTAAAAAAAAATCTCGAGAGCTAACCTTGAGTTGATAAGTGATTTGAAAAAGAGGTACGCTTAAATTACTAGCAGCAATATACTGTAAATTGTTTTGAAGCACAAACATGATAGCAGGTACACTTAATTTCCACCAACCAGGTTGAAAGATTTCAAGTTTTAATTGGTTCATCACTTCGATCATTCGATTGGAATTTGTATTTAAACCATTCGAATGGTTTCTTGTGGGTGATGATTTGATAGGAAGTTTGATGGATTTCGATGGGTCTCGATGGTTTGTTTTAGTTATTGAATTAGAACTTGAACTTGAACTAGAATCAGACCCAGATCCAGAACTCGTTCTTTCCTCTTGATGTTCTGATTTCCTTTTGCCCTTCAAACCAACCAAATCAAGCTGATCCCTAACCCCAAGCAGACAATCTTCTTTCCTACCGTGAACCCCATGCACCGAACCCAACCCTTCACCCGACCCAAACGATTTCTTTGTACCTTCTTCTAGGCGATCAAATTCTTGTAACTTTTCTATAAACCCTAAACAAATCGAAATCAATAATTTAAAAAATTCTGTTAAAACCACAGCTGATGAAGCTTTATATGATTGATGTGAATTAGTTCTAGAGATATGCATGATGATCGTCAATGCTGAATAATGTATACATAAAGCTATTAATGAAATCATTCGGTTCGATGGCATCTTGATATGAAAATCCTTTGAATTCTGGTGCCTTGCTTGATTGGTTTCAATTTTTCATGAATTTGGTTGTTATGATATAAGGTAATTGGATCCTTGATGGGTTTCCAGTTTTGATTTCTTCTATGTTTTTTGAATCCTTTGAACCGTGTTAATTTCTTGAGACTGGATCCTGTTGAAGTTGAAGAATTCTATATTGTTGGTGGTGGTATGACAACGCGTCTTGTGAAGTGCTGGAGTTCTCCTGGGTTCAAGACTCCGGCCCTAGCTGACCGGATAATACCCGAGGCTTCTTTTTTGCAAGGCACTTCATCACCTTAATCCTCTTTCGCCATTTCCTTCATTTCCTTCTCTCTCTCTCAATCTGTGCTCTCTCTCTGCTCTCTTCTCAACACCCCAAAAGCTCACAAACAAATCATAAAACTTCTTATAAATATACCCTATAAGAAGAATGATAATTTCAAAAAAAATAATAACCTCTCAAAAAAAAAATCATAACGAAAAAAATAACAAGACGAAATAAAACTTTTTCAATACAGAAAGAAAAACCTTTTTCAATAAAGAAAAGAAAAAACTTTTTCAATAAAAAAAAGAAAAACTAATTAAAAGAGAGAGAGAAAAAAAAATTATAGCCAGCTTTAGGGTTTGGTTTGAATTTTATTCAAGTTTTCAAAACATTATTCAAAAAAAACACGTCATTCTGATCATCAACCCTTTGGCTGCCCCCCGCTAAAAAAGAATCCAAACCTATTCCAATCCAAATAATCACATAACAAAAATCCAAGAACCTCGTTTCCAACCTTTGTTTCCAATTCCCAATTCCCAAAACCCCTATTCCAAAACCCGCACCTGAACCTAATTAAACCCCCCACTAGTCACCGGTCTCGCACAACTCCTCCCACCCAATCCCGAGTTCTCAATCCCATTCCCATTCTGCAAGTACCCATGCTGCTGAGCCCTAGAGATCCCCGAATGATGATCAAAAATCACACTTCCCCCACCTCCCACACCGTTTCCAGAAGTCGAATTAGTTCCATAACTATTGATAGTAGCCATACTACTTGTTCTACCACTTCCGACTGTACCTGTGGTGTGAGTAGAAACATTAGATCCAGAAGAATGAAGTGCACGAGTATTGGAAAAATGTTTATGTTGCTAATCAAACGAACAAAAAAAAATCAAATCAGTTCTCAATCTCATTCAAAAAAACTTCTATCAGATTCTTACATTGGCAATGATCGCTTTAAGTGAACGGATTTGTAGTGCCATACAACCACTCAAAGTAGCCGCTTCATAAATCAACCCGACAGCATTTCCAATACTCGAAGTACTCGAACCAGACGATTTGGTTCCATTCGGATAAGCCAAATGAGCTGGGTTCAAGTACCTATGAAGTCCATGTACAGTCAACATTCTCAAATGATCAATCTTATAAGTCGTTGCAAACACCAATAGAGATCCCAAGATAGCCGGTGAATGGTGTAGGGGTGTTAACAATTCTAACGTATAGATGTATTCTAGAAAAGCTTGTACTAAGATCACCGGATGTGGTAGGTGTAACCTTCGAGGGGTGATTTGATGAAGCTCAGGTAATTTGAGATTAGGAATCAAAGAGTTTAACGAGTTCGAATGTGTAGGATCTATGTTAGTTTTAGATGAATTGAAGGCCATCGAAAGGTGTCTAGGTCGATTAGATTGAACAGTCGAAGCACGATTCCTAAAGATCACATTCTTAATCGATTTAGACGCCCCTCCTTTTCCATTCTCTTGATGATGACCACCACCCGTAGCTTGATCTAATTCAGATTGACTTCGACGTTTAGCCAAACAAGCCACTCTCATCTGTTGTTGATAAGAAACATGTGTCTTGGTAGCCTGAAGTTTAAATGCATCCAACTCTTTCCTAAACCAAGGCCATCGATCTTCCAAAAGTTTTTTATTAACAGGTATCAAATGACCATCCGCACATGCAATCTCAAAATCTGTCAGATGAACATTCCTAAGTAAACTTAGATTCGATTTCGCCACTTTCAAACTAGCATCACGTGGTAAACCACGTCGAACATGACTCTGAGTCGAAAACGGTGGTTGATAGATCGCAAAGGCTTCCAGATCGATAAACGCTAAATCCACAAAGTTGATCTGTCGATGATGATAATCATTCACTATATCTCGATCCTTATCACCCAAGACCACCAAACAATTTCCCCATCCCACCGCTCGATTCCAACTACCACTCATCATGATCCTACCCGGATCGATTCGTTGCCACACCACTTTCCCCGATCCGAATTGAGTATTATTATGAGTCGAAACTTCAGGACGAGCTCCATTGGGTACTTTCACAGGAATATGCTTGTGATTCGATTGAGAAAGATCAAGTGCCCAAATGGCAAAACAATCGAGTTGATCAGGTACTTTCTCTGTGTTCAAGGATGTACCCGAAACGATAAGATGAGTACCAATCATCGTACCCGTCGGAAATCGAAGACCGTTGGGTAAGACACCTGTCATGGAATGAGACAAAGGATGGATGGTCGTGTAATGTCCTGTCAATGTCGGTGTTGCTGGTGGTGGTGGTGGAGTGGTAGGATAAGAGATCAATTCTAAATCTCGTCGAACACTGCGAAAGTTTTGTGGAAGATCACGAAAAAGTGTAGTCATTTTGGGTTCAATCAGTCAGACCTATATTTCTTTTGGTAGATCACAAGTATGAATTCCATCATCAAAACTTTCACATCAAAACTTTCGAATGATGATCAAGAATCGAAAGAATGAAGGCTAGAAAATCATGAAGACTGACTCGTTGAAATTGAAATTCGAATAGAGGTACACTGGCTCTGGCCTCTCTACCGAAGGTTTTTCGCTCCAATTTAGTCTTCGTAGAACCTGATCGGGATTCGAATCATCTGTCGAATCGAATCGATCACCCTGCCTGACAGATAGACGAGATGTGCAAGCCACACTCCTATAGGTTCCACAATGTCGTTCCCATCGGCGACCTTCGATCCATTGCATAGAATCCAAATCAAGCACATTGATTTCACCAATGTACCGATTCGAGATATCTTGACCTCCCATTAGAGTGAGTAAATTACGACTCGGCCGTTTGTTAGGTTTCAGGATCCTAGGCGTCGATTGTGGTTTAGAAGAGGTAGCAAACTCGATATAGTCATCTTCTGTCACTGGACCCGAATAACCACTCTCACTTGTCAAACAACTCAAATGAGCATATCGAGGGCTCGGAGGAGTGATAGTCGGAGCCGCCGTAGTAGAAGGAAAGCTCCAAGTCCGAGTGATCGTATCAAACACCAAGACATCGTCCAAGACACAAAGACCAACTTCGGTATCCGAATTCAAATCAGGTGTGACCGGTCTTTGTTGATCATCGAGCATATTATTTGCATAACCCATACCACCAAAGATAATTAATTTATGATCCCAAGCTTCAGCAGAATGAAAGTAACGAGCACGAGGGATTTGATGAGTGGTAGCATCGAGATCTTGAGAGTTTGGAATCGAAGTTTCAGATGAAGATTTCCGATTGAGAGTTGATGTTTGATGTGGGTTGATGGCTCTACCTTTTCCTTTGAAATCGATTGAATTATGTGACGAATCAGAAGACGGCCAAATCTTTTCCCAATGTAGAGATTGTAGATCAAGTCGGTAGAGATCTGAAACCATGAGCCTGGTTGGCACTAGTCTACCACCAAAGACATAGAGACCTGTTCCGAGTACGGTGATAGAAGCACCGACCTGAGATGGATAGAATAGGGGATAAGATGATGAATGAGTGAGTGATTGATTGAAAAGTAAGAGAAGACGACAAACTAGAGGAGGAGGGATGTCTCCTTTTGTAGATCTAACACAAGCCGTTAGATCAGCCAAGGTACCAGATGGTTGTTGAGATATTTTAGCTTGATAATTGGAAGAGATAGTAGTTGGAGATTGAGTTGGATGATGAATTCGATTTGAAGATGAAGTGGTCATAATGAGATGAGATGATCAAGAATGATAGAATGATAAAATGATAAAAGTGGTATAATATGCTGATGATGATGAAAGTGTTGATGATGGTGATGGTGATGGTGATGAAGGTGAAGGTGAAGGTGGTAGTTGGTCAGGACTCAGAGTGGATGAGGAGTGCAAGTCAAAATATTCAATCATTTCTCTCTCTCTATGAATACAGTTATTTTGAATTTTAAGTTTAAACCAAATTCGATTTGACCATTCAATTCAATTCAATTCAATTCAATTCAATTCAATCGGAGAAACTTATCAATCTGTGCTCTCTGAAGTTTGAACTCACTCTATTCCTTGGACCTTGACCAGTCACCACTCGACTCTTCACCAAGCAAGACCAGATCAGTTCAAGCACCCCTGTAACTCATCATGAGCCACCCACCCCAAAAATCAAACCCTACCCCTACTACACACCGTCTCATACCTCACCTTCATGTTCGATTAAACCCAACACAGGACCCCGGCAAAGCTCCAGGTTATGGATCTAGAATCATTGATTTTACCCTTTTTCATACCGGTAAAAAGACTTGATTTTACAAAAAAAAAATCCAGTCTCATACTTATTTATCACCAGGTTTTGGGAATACATATAGTCGACTAAAATTTGATTCTAATAGCTTCCACACCTCCACATTTGAGAAAATTCTATAAGGTGTTTTAATCAAAAAAAAAACTTTCCTTCATTTTTTGGCCAAAATATTGGCAAATCAAGCTTTTGATTAGCGAATAATGATTGATGGAGCCCAAAGGCACGACGGTTCCATCCGTTTCCACGATACGGGTAGATATCGGGTAGGTGGTGAACGGGAAACTATACCGGTACCGGGATAGGTTTCCCTAGACGCGCACTGGAAAAATGTTGCAGAGAATTCCCGCAACGAAAATTTTTCCTTCACTCTTCCGCGTCGAAAGTTCTCACCTCAGAACTATCCCATGCCCGTATCGGATTGTCCTATCATCCTCTCGTATCTCTCACGTTCTCACTTTGAAAACCTATTCTCTTTTCTCTCTACTTCCGTAATATCCTTTCAAAATCTATCAATCCGGATTAAACAACAATAGTAGCAAGATAAAGATTAAGAAGAAAAGTAGGTAATGGCTTCTACCGGTAACACGCCTGCAAGTGGAGAACCACATGCCGGTACCAATACAACTTCTAACACCAACAACCAACCGACAAACACCGAATCCTTTAATGCGATGTTGAGACATACGAGTAGTAGGTTGAGAGGAGGCTCTGTACCTCCCCCCGATTCTGTGGCTATCATACCGATCCCCAATGCCGTGATTCAGAGAGGCAGAGGACGAGGACGCGGCCGCCACGCTGTTGCTGGCCCAACTAGGACGACTACCATTACACCGGATCAACCAGTCGTGACGTTAACTGTGCCTAGACAACAGGCCAATGGAGCAGCTGGTGCTCAAGCCACTCCAAACACTGAAAACAGGCCTTCAGCACAAAACGATGCTACACAAAGCGCTGTCAAACAAGGAGGGAACGGAACATCTGTTATCCACTCCCCGGCCAGACGAGTCACCCCCAACGACTTAGTTTCTCGTGACGCTGTGATAACCCAGCCTTTATGTAAGCTACCAAACTCTTTGATGTTTTCAACGAACGTGATGCCGCCTCTATGCGATGCCACAATAACTGTGTTGCCACGATTCGTGATGCCCCAAAGGAGAGCGATAAAGATCAGTTTACTAAAATAACTTCCCGTTGATTTGAAAAGCGCGCTCACCGGCACGAAGAGCCACGGTAACCGCGGGTGGCGACAGTCCACCGAGAGGATTCCACTCCTGGTTGAAAGCAAATGGCTTTGCGGTGGTCCACGATCCTAACACTGTGATCCCCCCTTTGAACGGAATCTCTTCTGTGATCAACACCAGAAATGCGACAAACCCCACAACTTCTCAGGGTGGGTCAGCCCCTTCGAAACAAGCGGTGACTCCGGCGGTGTCAACCAGCGTTGTTCCTAAGCCAAAGCAGCCAGTGCAATTTGACCTTACTAAAGATTCCAATGATGAAGCCAACAACACGACCACTTCAAAAGAAAAGAAAAAGCCAGTTGTTGGCGAAAAAGGGATCGAAACCGTCGGCTTAACTAAGCTGTCAAAATATTTTGACGAGAAGATGAAGTCCTTAGAGGGATACGTACCTCTGTCGATCTTTAACCCCTTGTGGCTTCAACAGGACCTCTTGAAACAATCAACCGCCCGCTCGAAAACTGTCAAAGAGAAACTCGAAGACAACTACAGTGGCTTACAAGTCCCCGACGAGTGGAAGATGAGCTTCGGCGAGTGGGTGATGTCCTTCGACCTATACGTAGTGTACCTTTGTCACTATGATCACGGCGACCTAGCCAATAAGTTCATGATCCACAAAGAAAATGTCTTTGCGATCCAACGACAGCGTCTCTCTTGGCCTATGGCTTTCCGATATGACCTTGCCATCCGAGTGCCTGTCCTAACTTTCAGAAACGCAGATGGAACCCTAGCCAACCCAGCGGTACGGGACGAAACCAAGGAACGCGACGCACTTCTTGATTCCGAGAGACTGCAAGACTTCCGCAGAGAGTTCTCCGATGTTAACCCTTATGCCAATGGACAAGTTAAACAAAATGTTAACCCGATTTCTGGAGAACACTACAAGAACCAATCTGCGACCTACTCCTACAACTCCAACGGCCTACCCAATCACCAAAGATACGAGAACACTAGCGGTAAACCCAATGCGCGATCCTGGGCTTATGCCAATGGCCAACCTACGTACGACGGACCAGGTAGTAATGGTTACAATACCTGGGAAGATCGCGGCGGAAGCGGTCACAACCGTAGCAGTCGTGGCCGTGGTCGCAGTGGCCACTGGCAAGACTATTCCAACAACGTCCGCGATTACAGTCCTCCTAGTCGTTGAAACACGGATAGATCGGATTCGCGCCGAGGTGAGGGTAGTGGCTTGTGGAGAAGAGACAGACGCGAAGACCGCTGCGGCGATGAGCGTGACGTTAATAACCCTAGAAATAGTGGAAGTGGGAAGGCAAAGTGAGCCGTTAGAAAATCATCCTGTTCCTTTGAGGTTTCAAGTCAACCGTCTTTTTTTTTCCCTCTCTCGCTCGGCTAGATAGCCCAAAAGGGAAGTACCTACGTACCACGCGTTGTATGGCCCCTAGTTATTGTTGTCTGTGGTACTCTCTTGATTTGTGTCCTCTTTGCTAGAGACAAGTTACCAGCTCCTAGAGGCTAATTGTGAACAGATCTTGTTTTCTGATGTTTTTCCTGTGACCACCTTTGGTAATACATGTCTAAATGACTTCATGACTTACTTTCCCTTACTTTACCTTGTGCCTTCCAGTGATGACGAAAGAATCTTTACTAGACGTCGTGTTGATGACAATCATGTGTGGGAAATGCCCGATCCCATAGGGCCCAGGGTACCACGTTTGATTCCCTATACAAATTCAGGCCGTCATTTCGACAAAAGATGGCCAAAAGACCACGTAGTGTGTGAGTTAAATATCCCTATGTGGAGAAAATTAGTGAAGGAGTGCGGTATCGGAGGCGATGTTGAGGAAGTCTTAGAGGGTATGCAGAATGGTTTCCACCAAGGAATTCCAGACCATACCTTGGGGAAGAGACGCTGGTATACCCCGAAAAACCACGATTCAGCACAATTAGCAGCTGAGAAAATCACAAACACTTTACTGAAAGAAAAAAGAGAAGGTCGAATTTTCGGACCTTTCACACACAAAGAGGTGTTCTCAAAAATCGGATTTTTCAGATCTAGCCCGATGGGCAGTGTGATCAATGGAGATGGCTCCTTCAGGGTCATTAACGACCTCTCCTTCCCTCACGACGACAAAGAAACTCCTTCCGTTAATAGTTTCGTCGATAAGAAAGATTTCGCAACTAGTTGGGATGACTTCAAGGTCCTGATACGTTTCTTCAAAAACAACAAGTCAAAGTTACAAGCAGCTATTTATGATTGGGCCAAAGCGTATCGTCAGATCGCGATACTCATTTCGCAATGGAGGTTTCTGATGATCATGGACTTACTGAATCGAATGTGGGTAGATACTCGTATCCAGTTTGGGGGAGTTGCGGGCTGTGGTGTATTTGGAAGACCCGCAGACCTCTGGAGACAAATTATGGTGAAAATATTCAATCTGGAAGTCGCCTTCCGCTGGGTAGACAATAATTTGCTTATCAAGAAGGCAAGTAACCCAACATGTATCAAAGATATTGTAGATTTAAGTACGAAATTAGGTGTAGCGTCCAATGCAGAAAAGGTCCATGAATTCGCCGACGAACAACGTTATATAGGATTCGTCTGGAATGTGGTCGAAAGAACAGTGCGGCTCCCTGAAGAAAATTGCATAGGGGAGGGCGGATCACCTATAAGCCGGA